ATAAACAGTATTAATTATATTTACCCGCCTGAATGTCCGAGAAATTTCGTAGAAAATATGCGTCCCCTTATAGGAATCGAATCTGTGTCCTACACGGAAACATCATTTGATCTGACGGGCTATACCATTAAGCTACATAGGAAGCGCCTGGTTAGCAAAGTCCAAATTACTGTTTTTAAACGATTAATTTCTCACGTTCTTTTCTTGGACACATCTGCAGTACGTGTGGTAACTCTACGAAGCTTATGCGTTACGGGACTCTTAAGATCGTGATCTTTCTTACCGTTTGCTTCCTATCGTGTTTCTTTTCTTTTCTCCTTTTCCCAATCTAACAGCCTGAATACTACTGTTATTACAACCAAAGAAACTATTCTCCTTGAAATATGAGACAACGCTTTTTAGTCTCGGTGAACACACACTGCGCCAAAGTCTTAACGCTGTTGCTTGTAGGCCACGCATTTAAATTTAGAAATCCTTGAAAGACTAAAATATTATCGCTGTAAAGCAAGTATTGATCGCAATGATATGGTAAGGACGTCATGTAGTCAAGGCGCGAATTTCAAAAAGGGGTTGTTACGTAATTAACATCGTTTAGTGCTAAAATAACGAAACCATCAGTTAACGTCCTTTTTGCTCTGAATGTGTTAAGACAGAAAAGCAACTGCTCTTATCCATATTTCCCGCACGGAAAATTAATGTCTTGACCTCACAGCGAATTGATTTTTATTTCTTTATTTTGCACTGAACTTCATTCACCTTGCAAATAAAGCTTCATTTCCGGCTCAGAGATACGGAATAGAGGAACGCGGATTACACGGGTGTAAACGAGTTCGTCAGAGCTTGCATTTGTTTGTGCTTTCAATGTTTGTATTTTCAAATAAAGACAGCAGTGAATGTTGTAAAAATGGCACAAAGAAAGAAAACCGATACAAAAACAAAAGGCAGAAGCACACATATCCGCACTAACCTTGCTGTTTGAATATGAATAGCCACTGCCAATGAAGATATCCGGTAACAGGTAGTAAATAAATCAATAATGCATAAATTATTATTATTATTATTATTATTATCTTAGGCATTTGTATGACCACACCACTTGCTGTTATCACTGGAGACTGACTCCCCAAGATCTCCAGCATCTTTCTTCTTCGTCTTCTTCTACTTCTTCTTCTTCTTCTTCTTCTTCTTCTTATTATTATTATTATTATTATTATTTGCTTTGATTTCTGTTGTATACCCATTTTCATTCGGGTCCGAACCGGAGACCTAAGGTCAGAAATGGCATCATTTCAATTTATTGAACATTACCATAAATAAATGAAAATAAAACACCCTAAGAGTGCACACATTTTACGTTCATAAAATCCCTCATAAAATGTGAGCTTTATTTGTGAGAATATTTTTTTTGTATTTCTTTAATGTATCGGTTACCAGGGACATCATCAATGAATCTATCAGAACCTTTTCCAATTACACCTAAAGCTGCAAGCACAACTGGAATTATTGATGTTGCCATGTCTACATTTTTTACGTGTTTCTTCTTCTTCTTCTTCTTCTTATTATTATTATTATTATTATTATTATTATTATATTTCCTTTGATTTCTGATGTGTACTCATTTCTTTCCGGGTCCCGCCCAGGGACCTAAGGTTATAAATGGCATCGAGACATTTTCTACTAAAAAAAAATTTACATAAACAAAGCTCTTTGTAAGGTGTGGGTTGTACCCGTGAGAACAATTTTTTTTGTATTTCTTTAAGGCATGGGCTTCCAGGAATCCCTTCAATTAGTCTACTGGAATCTTTTCCAACTAATCCGAGGGCTCCAACAACAACGGGGATTGTTTATGTTCCCATGTGCCACATTTCTGAGATTTCGATTTCAAGGTCCTTGTATATTGATAGCTTTTTGAAGATCTTGAAAGATACATTGCAGTCTGCAGGTACTGCCATATCAATATGGAGGCACTTTTTTTGTGTGCGATCTATAATAACAATGTCTGGAGAGTTAGATTTGATTGTTCTGTCTGTGTGTATTGTGCAGTCCCATAAAATTGTAACAGGTTCTATCTCTGTAACCGGGTCTGGTTTGTGTTCATATCAATTTCTTTCGGTTTCTTTCCTGTAGAAGTTGCAGATTTTCCAATGTAGATATTGGCCAACTCTGTCATGCCGGGTTTTATATTCTGTGGGTGCCAATACCGTGCAACCTGATACAAGATGATCGATTATTTCTAGGTAATTATCACAGAACCTGCATTTTGGGCTAATGCTGTATTTTATTATGTGTGCTTGATTATTATTATTATTATTATTATTATTTGCAAATATACGAAATCTGATATACTCACGATGACATACAATCTGATAAGATTATACTAGTAACAGGTATTATTACAAATATGCAATATGCCAAGAGGTTCTGATAAAAGCAGCTCATAACCTTACAGGTTGGTCCCGTAAGAAATACCTTCAGTTTGTATAATCTAGTAAACCCAAACAGTCTTCGACTGAAGGTGTTCCTAAGTATGTTTTTACCTTCCAACGGCAAAGCTAATGCTAACCTCCAGACGAGTGACTCATTGCGCCTTCTTGAACAAATGTTTTCATTTGGCATGAAGTGGAAAGAATATATTGAATCAATTACCGAGTCTGCAGCTAAGAAAGTTTGCTCACTATGTTATGCTAGACAATTTTCTCGATAAAATCTATATTGCATATTTATAAGTCTACTATTTCCGTTAATATTGCTGCCACATCGGGTATGGTGTTCCTACTAGATAGAGAGAGATTCTTAATGAACTCTAAAGAAGACTAAAGAATCTGAAATGTTATTGGTTCTCACCTGGCACCTCCGTTTCAGTTTCTTTCCCACAACTGCATTGTAGCTTCTTTGTGCCTTTCCTATATATAATTTCATGGTAATGGTCCTGATGAACTTTCCTTAATGGTACCCAGACTTTATGAATGTAAACGCAGTACTATATAGTGACAAGCTTTCATCATTTTACAGTTGAATTGGCTAGATGCAACCGTAAGTTCTATGCTAAGAGTTTTTTTTTCTATCGCACTTCTTGCTTGTGGAACTTTCTTTCGTCTTCTTGCTTCCCTGTCAACTTTAAACTTCAAAAATTAAAATGTCAGTCGTTATCTTCTGTTTTCGCAATTCTTTTATTCTCCTCTCTCCTTTATAGTAGTTTCCCCCCCCCATATTGTCTAACACTCAGTAAACCCCTTGCATCGTAGTGACTTTATTGCCGTTCTTGGGATGAAATGATTAAAAAGAAATAAGACAGTTTTGACACCTAGCTTTGATACTCTTCCACTACTCCCTCTCTTGAAGAGATATACTCACTGCGTCAGTTTCAAGAGCACATTCACAACGAGTTATGGTCAAATCTTGCAGGCCAATCTGTTGTGCTGAGCGAACAATTGACTGTAGCCTTTCTTAAATCACTAAGATAAAACATATAGTGATTTTCCAAGCATAGCTTAGGTGTGGCACAAGGCCGAAAGTATGGAGCACCTAGTGAGGATTGAACTCACTAATCAGTCGTAATTGTTCTAGCAAGACAAGATTGCTAACCATTACACCGCCCCGAGTTGCCCATAGTGATTTTTTAAGCTGATAGCTTAGGGGAAAAATCTTCGACTGATGCCAAATCAGTCAGGTTTCGATCTTGGCTTGAGTTAATCGGATATCTAACCACACTTTTGGATGACAATATAATAAAATGCTATTAAAACTCAACCGAAGTTCAGGTAGCTTATTGGATAAATGAAATTAAACAGCTGAAATGAACTGGATAATTATAGTATAAGAATAAAACTGTGCTACCTATTAAATTACTTGCGCTTGGCTTTTGACTAAGCTTCTTTCAAAGATTCAAATCTAGTCTCCATTCGCGATTTTCTGCGGTGACAAATGTAACAATTCGTACACTACGGATATGTTTTTTTACATGTTCTGATTCATTTTGAAAAAAAAAAGAGAAAATGTCCCTAATCTAACATTTCATACAACGTACCCTACTGACGGGATTTTTTTTTTCATTTTTTATTTCTTTTAATTTAAAATTTTGTAATTTGTGTTATGAATAATCAAGAGTGGTCTCCTCTTTTTTGTTACTCTCCTCTTTGAGAGAGCTATTTTCTGTTTATTTTGACTATAAAAGGACATTATACGCGAACCTTGTATTCCCAGTTGAATAAATCTTCCTTAAAGCCTACACCTGTGTATTTTTGTCATTACAATCTGTATTGCTTTATTTATATCTATTTTCTCATTTTTTTTGTTTGTTTAATCGCTGAGCATATACGATCACAGATGTAAACATATGGGAACTGGTAATTTAAGTATCATTATGAATAATGAAGAGTGGTTTCCCCTTGTTTTGTTACTCTCCTCCTTGAGTGAGACATTGTATACTGGGATGACACTATACGTAACCTTGTATTCTCAGTTGAATAAAGATGTCTTAACGCCTACACCTGCTAACTTTTGTCATTACACTAGGTCGTAAGTTTAAGATTTTGGGGCAAAAATTCAGGTCGTTAAGGGAGGAATATTTATATTCTTTTTTACATTTATAGTCCTTTGCCATTTCGTGATGAAAAGCCTCACACAATTGACTGCAGAAACTTCACAGCCGCAACATATTTTCCTAGTAAATCTCATGAACTGACAAACAGAACTCAACTAAAATTAGTCTATCATTAATTGACATTCGACTTAATAGTTAAGCCTTTTTGAATAGAAGCAGACACGTGAACCGCGTTTCATAGTATATTTTTGTATTTGTGTTATATCTGGAAGGTAATCTAGCGAGCTAAGTAGCTAGCTATCTTAGTATCTTCCCGTTGATATGTTCGTATGATAATTTTATTTATCTATCGATCTATTTGTTTTTTAATTATATTTTTATCATTGACTGTTCGATATTTTAATATTTACCTATCATATTTAAGCTATCTTTTATGCAAATCTAGTTCGATAAATCTATGAATAGCCTCAATTTATTGCTAACAAACATCAACGATGCCACTGTTGCTCATCTATCTATCTATCTATCTATCTATCTATCTATCTATCTATCTATCTATCTATCTATCTATCTTAGTCTGGTTATATCTATCGATCCTTTTTTAAACAGTGATCCTAATCTATTCAAAAATATAAATCTAATTTACTTCTCTCTCTCTCTTTCTCTCTCTCTCTCTCTGTCTATCTATCTATCTATCTATCTATCTATCTTAGTCTGGATATATCTATCGATCCTTATTTAAACAGTGATCCTAATCTATTCAAAACTATAAATCTAATTTACTTATTTATCTCTCTTTCTCTCTCTCTCTCTCTCTCTCTGTCTGTTTATATCTCTATCCATCCTAATCTATCTATCTATCTATCTATCTATCTATCTACCTATCTATCTATCTATCTATCTATCTATCTTAGTCTGGTTATATCTATCGATCCTTATTTAAACAGTGATCCTAATCTATTCAAAACTATAAATCTAATTTACTTCTCTCTCTCTTTCTCTCTCTCTCTATCTATATCTCTATCCATCCTAATCTATCTATCTATCTATCTATCTATCTATCTATCTATCTATCCTAGTCTGCTTATATATATCTTAACCTATATATCAATCCTAGTCTGTTCAATACTCTATCATATCCAGTCATCTGTCGTTTTATCTGTCCATCTTAATCTCCTCAAATCTATCTATCTATATTAGTCTGTTTATATCTATCGATCCTTATTTAAATAACGACCCCAGTCTATACAAAACAATCTAATTTATCTATCTGTCACCCTGTCTATATCTATCGACCCTAATCTGATTCTATCTATCTATCTATCTATCTATCTATCTATCTATCTATCTATCTATATATATATATATATATATATATATATATATATATATGTCCTAGTCTGTTTATATCTATGTTAACCTATATATCTATACTAGTCTGTTCAAAAGTATCTATCATATTTTTTTATCTATCTATCTATCTATCTATCTACCAGTTTAACTGCAGCAAAATTTAAAAATAAGTTATTATAAAGACGAACTCGATACGTGTCCGATACAACTTTTCTTGATGGTCACAAAATTGCTTTTCTTGTTTGTTTCCTGAATATTAACACGTCACCATTTTTCCTAGTTATTTCAGTAACTGAATGCGCCGAAAGCTTTCTTTTATCACAAAAGTAGATTATTATGGAACAACTAAAGCATTGACACCAGAGCTTTTCATGGAACTACTCTGGCCTTGACTGGCAGATAGATTAGTAGAGCATTATAATGAGCTCAGGTGCAAAACTTGAGAGCATTTATCGACTTGTCGATTTAATGACGGCATTATTTTATAGGTGAGCACTCATGCTAACGTGTGTTTATCAGCAAAATGTTTAGCAAATTGTTTTTATTGAATGAGTTGAATACTTTCTACTGCCCCTGCTGGCATCCACTTGTACAATATTTCTATCACGCATTCCAAAGTATATAAAAGATAGCATGAAACAGAAATATTTTACATTTTACGGACAGGGAAGATATTGCAAGATCACTTGCAAGATTTGCGCGTCTGCCTTCGACATTGATATAGCTTGAAAGAACATGGCAATGGGTGCTGGACAATCACCTCAAAGATGAAGAAGGTATTAGGTTGGTGCAAAAATAATGACGTAATAATGTCGTTTTTGACGTAATTTTAACGTCAAAAAAACGACATTATTACGTCATTATTTTTGCACCAACCTAATACTTGAAGCAACAGAAATGTGGTTCTACAGAAGGATGTTGAGAATACTACAGACATAACATCAAAGCAACGACAAAGTTTTAAGAAAAATAGAAACAAAAAATCACATACGTAGCATCAGAAAGTGACAATGGACATTTCTACGGCACATAATGAGGAAAGAAGGCATAGCATATTTGACACTCACATAACATTTTGAAGGCTAGACGGAAAGGGGAAAGCAGGGCATAATGTACTGATCGAGTACATTATGCACTGCAGAAACTTCATTGTTCATTTCAGCTGTTTAATTTCATTTATCCAATAGAACTTACGGTTGCATCTAGCCATTTCAACTGTAAAATGATGAAACCTTGTCACTAATATGGTACTGCGTTTACATTCATAAAGTCTGGGTACCATTAAGGAAAGTTCATCAGGACCATTACCATGAAATTATCTACTAATCTAAATGGCTTTATAACTGCGATTATGAGAGTTAGCAAAACACAACTACTAAGAGCTAAAAATAAATGAAATTGTGGAGATCCATAAATGCCCACATACTGATGGGACACACACATAGAAAAAGATGGTGCTTCTCACAGACGACCACAGAGCACGTTCGTTTCTAGCTACTGTATTTTCTTTGAAAATAAGGTAGCTCGCAATCTGTTATTTTAATATTTATGAAAGTCGTAAACAAAGCTATGCTCATGAATAAAATAACTTAACATGACCTCGCGGTCAGGCCATTCTGGGGATATCTCCGTTTACTTTCGTTGAATAGGAAAAAAAAAAAGGATAATTTCCTTCGCGTACAAGCGCGTGTTTCAGGAGGACGATATCTGAATTTAGTTGAGTTCATGTGGCAACCACTCCCGAAATTTCTTTTCTTTTCCACTTTACTTGAAATATTGTAAATTGTCGAGATTAAAATCGTCAATTTTTCTGTTCATTTCTCGAATGGATTGGCAAGGATATTGTTGAAGCTTGGATAAGCATGGAATAATAATAATACAACACAAAATGTACGTAAACAAAATGTATTGAAACAAGGAAAAGGTACACAATATTTACAGTTAGTTTTGGTATATTCTTGGGAAGACTGTTCCTGTAGAATGGGTTGACTTAATCGCAGTCGGGCAGAGTCTCTGGATTGGATCTCTTGTTACTTCCCCCGTCTTCCCGGTACCAACCCATATTTATATGGTCGGTACTCCACTATGTAAATTAGGTGGATCGTACCACAACAGATATCTTTCCATAGATTCAATTGATTATGTGCAAATCGTGGCAATGGAGAAAGTTTCTATTTTACACCAAAAGATACTCTACTCCTTCTGCCATATTTTATATTTACAGAAGATAGATCAGACCAAAAAGTGGATATTGTTGTCATCTGTCTGCTGTAGCTGCTTAAACCCCGCCACTTTCCATTCATGACAGACTGCAAAAACGTTTACACATTTTTTTCTTTTTGTGTGATGAATTGTATTCCACTCTACAATCCCTTTAATACAGGTGACACTTATCTTACCTGTTACGACTCTATCGCTATTTTTGTCGCAGGTGTTCCAACAGTGCAGACCTTTCCAACTAACACCTGCTATGTCACGTGCACAGTCGACACATTCGTTATTCTCTTCGTATTCCAATTGTAAGGAGGAAGTTCTACTCAGAGACCTTCTTCCCCAGAAATGTTATGTTGTGAAAGAAACTCCTAAAAAGATGTTTCCTGGATTACTACAGTCTATCCTTAATTTCATGGTGTGTATTTAGACGATGCACATTCGTTAGTTCCACCAGTAGATAACATTACATCTTGGGACACTTCGACCTGATATAATGGTTAGCAAGCTAATCGTGCTAGAACAATTACGACAGATGTCCTTCCCCCTCCCCAACCTATAACTCTCTTCATCCATGTTTACAATCTAACTCCACCCACAAGACACACACATAATAGATCTGGCTAACGCTTTTACACCGATCAAAATTTTAAATATAAGTTTATTTTTATAAAAAGATGCGCACATCGAGGAATCACACAGAGATCGGGTATTTTCTAACAATTCGATTTCCACTGGAAAATAACCCATCTAGGAAAACATCTGTCAGTGAGTAATTCCTATCTCTCTGTTTAGTCCATTGTCCGTTGATGAAGGACACAGCCGTGTCCGACAATTCCGAACTTAAAACTCTCTGTGCTTAATTTCTGTTATATGGTTAATAATTGATATTTAATACATTTTTATCTTAATGATTATATTGTTACACTTTCGTTTGTCCTTGTTTTATTAATTAACCTAATATATATATATATATATATATATATATATATATATATATATATATATATATATATCATAGCAATTTCTTGGTTGAAGAAATTTGTCTCTTTAATTTTGAATGAAACAGCTGTGAGCATCCACTTTCCTTCTGTTGGCAGTCCTGTGTTTTGGGGACTGCTAAAAGACTTGAGTAATGTTTTTAAAGTTCATCCCCCACTCTTCTGTGTTCATCTCTGATTTTGTAGACCTGTTAAGAACCCACATATCTTTTTTTTTCCAAAACTGATATAAATTTCCTGTGAGCGGCTGCCAGTATAGTCCGCTTAGGATCGCTTACCCTCGTGATCTTTGGAGAAGGCGAGCCTTCAGAAATTATGCATGTAGGCTCACGTTGAAGATTATGTAGCATTCACATCGTGGCCTGCTCCCTAAGAGCCTGATTCATAAATGCACAATCAACCCGGTAGAACAATTTCGTTTCGTCTAAGGGCTGTCGGGTTGAAAATAACTCACAGCCCACAAAGCCGCATAAACGCTTTTGAACACAAAGCAAGAATAAAGGATAACGGGTGGACCCAGTGGTTGGTAGACTGGTGTTCAATTGGCAGCAAACGTAATAACGAAAGATAAGATAACTGAACACGTAGTTAGCAGTGACGTGTTCAGTTATGTTCGGGATGGAACGATTTCAGAAAGCCTTTCTCCACTAATGGAGAAGTAACGGGGACTATTTCTAATGATGATATATGCTTGTCTGTGTTTAATGACTTTAAGTCATTTATTATGTTTCTTTCTTTTAATATCAGGGGGTGCTGATAACTGTTCAGCACTCCCTCGTTATATATGTGGGTGTGATTTGTACGTCTTCTCTGTGGCGGCAGTAGCCTATAATTAAAGAAATAACCAATGTCATTAGACGTTCTCGTTTTCGTGATTTTACGCCATATTTCTTCTCTGATATGAAAGTCTTATATTCGCTCATGTCTCGTTTCATGATTATTTATCGTTCTACGAGAGGGTGTGGAAACGTTCTCGGTCCGACCAAGGAGACTGAACACGGAATTACCGAGCAATTCAACACGCTTGGCAGATGGTTTTCAAAAATAAATAAATAAATAAAATTCTGGAGTTCAATTGCTGAAATACTGGTTTTCAGAAATAGGTCTGGCCAATAATTTATCAGCACCCCTTCGCACAACCTTTCTATTCCTCCTCTTACGTTCATCCCATTTTAAACTCATTCATTAAGTCTCTCGCTGCAATAGCTCTCCAGCAATGTACTAACTGAAAATTAGTACAAAAAAAAAAAAAAAAAAAAACTACATATGGTCTGAAATCACTCTCTATAAAAGGCAGAATGTGTGTGTGTGTGTGTAACGAATGCACGGTCGAAATTTTCGACGGATTTGCACCAAAATTTACATGCACATGCTCCACGTTAGCGGAAATGCCAAGACCGACATTGCATTTCCCAACTCCCATCGATAGTGGAAATAATCGATTTTTTCATGCTTCTACGACAGTTTTCATGTAGTTTGCGGCCATTTTGTACTGACCAGAGTGAGAGCCTATAGCTGGCTGCCACGAATAGGCAGGAAGATTCTATTGGCCAGTGTGAGAACCTACAGCTGACTGACACGAATGTTAACTAGCATGCTAGCATACAAAAAAATCGATAGCTGCATTCGTCACAAGTGGGAAAAAATTAAATCCGCGTGGCGCTTTACTCCAATTGGCTCATTCGCTTGCTTAAACTCAACGTTGATTCTGATTCCGCAGAACTGGGTTGGGTGTGAAAAAGTATTTGTTGTTAACATTCTTTTTTCATTCGGTTTTTCCAGTTACGAGTCCGTTTTTAAAGCTGATCGTTTTGTGTTCATTTTGTTTAGTTCTTTTTTCGTAACAGATTTAATGTTTAGTATAGAGCTTAGAAAAAATTAGATAGGCAAGAAGTAAGGCGTGTAGCAACATCAGCGCGGCAAAGTGCACTTCTTTAAAGGCAAGGAAGGGCAAAAATATTTTAAGTCAAGTGATAGCGATTGCTGTATGAGTCGTACGATTTTTGAATCAAGCACGGGCAACGCCGGGCCATGCTGCTAGTCTCTCTCTAAAGACGAACACATAAAGAATTATAGTAATGGTACTATTAATCGTTTCCCTACAAGGAAACATTTGGCATTTATTGATCGAGAAGCCATGTTTACTTGCACAAGTCATGCGATGCAAGCCGGGGCAGGGAGGGGGATTCTTCCGCTGATGGAATCAACGGCCACATGTCCGTGACCAGGGCGAGAATCAAGTTTAAAGACATCATCGACTGTAGTTTGATCTGGATACGAATGGGTCTCGTCATAGTTACTTGCACAAGACATACGATGTAGGCCGGACCGAGGTGTTTTCTTCCCCTGATGGAATCAACGACCACATGTCCGTGATCAGGGCGAGAATTCAAGTTGAAATACATCATCGACTGGAAACGAATGGGTCTCGTCATGTTTACTTGCACAAGACATGCGATGGAAGCCGGACCGAGGAGTGTTCTTCCCCTGATGGAATCAACAGCCACACGTCCGTGACCAGGGCGAGAATTCAAGTTAAAAGATATCGGCTGTAGTTTGATCTTGAAACTTATAAAAGCTTTCTCTTAAAACGCTTTTTTAGGAAATCGTGTTTTTGAAGTGCAGTCGTTGTTATCGCTCTTTCCACCATTGATGGAGTTTCCTTTCAAACCTTCTATTTGAAGTGGCGTGAAATGTTAGCGTGTAGAATATATCATTATATCACGTTACATGTACTATCCATTTTAGTTGTTGCTGTTGTTGGTAGTCCTCAAGCGATATGGTTTATGTTATTTGATACAATCTTTGTAATTATGTAGCGCCAGTCCACAATGTTCAAAGAAGGATGATCTTTGCCAAGATCCTCAGGATTTACTCGGACAAAGCCTTTTTTTTTTATCCTTGATCTTAAGAAGCGGACGTATACAGCTGACAGATTATATATTTCTGAACGGGTTTGATTGGCGCTATACATGGCGTCCATGTGAAATTATCGATCTGACGAGGCTATTTAATAACATGACTTGAGTTTTCAGATTAATGTCTTGGTTTCGCAGCAATTTTAGGAACTGGGTAAAACTACCCCTAGAACAGCCTATTATATGTTCAGTTACTTTTTCTCCTATACTTAATGATATATCCCGGAAATGGATGTATTTGAACGAAGTAGCTAAGTGGTTTTGGCTACTATAACCAAATAGAATACGGTAGCAGTAATCGACTTGTACGCGTCGTAGTCGCAGGTGAGAAGTGTAGATCAATGGCGTAGTACAATGGACGTCGTTATAGATTTAGCTCTCAGACTGTGGCGATATTTATTGCATTTTAAAAAAATACAATTATGACACAAGGCCGAAAAAGGGGAGGGGTTGAGGCTGGTCTTAACTAACTATCCTATACCTAGCTAATCCGATTCACGACCCATTCATACATTACAATTTCTCCATTCACCATAAGAACTCATCCGTCACCAATCAATCCTCCATACACCATAATACCACATTCTAACTAGGGAGACCCACAAAACGCGCCCCGTGACATAAAAATTTAATGGTGCTAAAATATATATAAAAATCTATGATGCTCACAGACTAAGGCTCTTTGACTCTCCCACACGTCCGTCTGTATTTATGACGGACACCAGACAATCATATTTCAGTGAGGGGGAACACAGGTGTACGCATATTCCATTATATCACTTAATTTGTTAGAATTAATCCAGACGTCAAGCCATCTGAAATTTATAGTATTTACTATTTCCACGTCTTGGATTTTTATGACGCATTCAGAGTACGTGTCATCACTGCTTTTCATTCCAATTCCAGATTATAGTTTCTATTTTTGAAACATTTGAGTTCCATTGACATATTTGATAAAGGAAGTAGTTCTTCTGTTGAAGATCACTCTTATCCCAACGATAAAACACATATGTTATCAGAATGGCAACCACAGCAGCAGTATATTGGACTCGGGAGGGAAACCGTAATCGTTGTCTTCTGTCGTTAGACTTATTTGGAATGTGGTATGGAATGTTTAAATTGTCAGTGCCTATCTCATCACATCTGTGTTTGCAAATGCGTAGGAAGAGATTAAATAGACCGGGTTTCTCATTCCTACCTTGTCATACTCCTGATGAGGTCTGAAATGTTTCCGTACTGGAGCCCTCGCCAGACATGTATAATTCTGTAGATCGATACAGTCGCTCTATTAGATCGATGCATTTAGTGGATTCGAAGCTCGGAAGACGGTTGATAATGGATGAGAAAAGGAAGTCTTTATCGATGTTGTCATATGCTGCAGTGAGGTTAACAAAGCAGGTATCTTATTAGTTAGGTAGTTTCTTATTAGAGAGGTAAGCGATTTCTTGGAGTTATTTGATATTGTTGCATGCCTTTCTAAAACGAAAACTAAACTGGGTCATGAAGAGTTGACTTTCATAAAACGATTCCTTATAGACTTTAATAAAACCAACAGTATTGCTTACGTGAGTTCGTACAACAACTAAGTTGACTAAGCACTGTAGAAATTGCAACACCACACTTACTATGTTTCTGGGCGAGTATTAAAATGAGGCATAACAGGAGAAGGTAGATTCACCTATCGTCCGGTTCACACTCCTCCCCGGTCTTTTGAACAGAAGTAGAGATTTACCTCTTGTTTCCTGTTTAGTATTCGGTTTTCGGTTCCTTCGAACGTCTGCTTCAACTCTATACTTCTAACGTCTCCGCTTAGCTTCTGATTATATATGTATATATATATATATTTTTTTTCCTCAATAGGAGTACATATGTTCCCCTATCGTCCGGTTCACACTTCTCTCCGGTCTTTTGAACAGAAGTAGAGGTCTCTCTCTTGGTTCCTGTAATGGATTGGGTTTCCGGTTCATTTTAAAGTCTTCCTATTCTCTTTCACTCCCAGTCGACGCCTTGCGTCAAAGTGGTATTTATGGAATGTCAAAAGTACAGTTTTCCCATGAAACCGCTTTGAATGAAACCTTCATTCTTCGGCAATGCTTATTGTTTTAAAAAGAGATTATTAGAATTGTAATAAAGCTTAAGCATATAATAAAACGGAATTTTTTACATTTTTGTTCTTGAGGATTTACAACAAAAATATTAAGCACTATTTATAAGATTGTTCATTTACAAGAATACTTTGATACACATTCTAAAAACTAATACAATTAGAACTAATGCAATGTAATATTTATCATTTACCAATTTGTGATCTACTTATTCAAAATGGGATCGCCTGTGTTTGCTCTCTGGTGATCTGTGTTCAAACTCCGGTGTCGGCAGGGACACTTTAGTCCTATATAACAGTAAAGCAATTGTATTCAAACTAATGCAATGCAATATTTATCATTTACCAATTTATAAAGAAATAAATATAAACATTTATTATTCATAAATCTATAAACATTTACTAAATTATTAAAATATGTGACCCAACTATAACGAAATCCTTATTATTTAGCATTTTATAAATTTCGAATATAATTGGTAATTAGCCGATCTTTTGTCAAACATTCTCGTAAATAATGTGATAAATTGTTTAAACAGTTAAATAGTTTTTATTATATTTGTCAATTCCCAGGAACAAAGAAAACATAAATTCTCGTTCATATGCTTAGGTTTTATTCCAATTCTAATCATTGCTTTTTAAAACAATAAACATTGTCGAAGAGTGAAGTTAGTTAAAAAAAAAACGGTGTCATGGGAAAAACCGTCGATTTGACATTCCGCCTTACTGCGGGTACAAAAGTGCATGTTTGCCGAGTTAAGCTTCACTAGATGACAGTGACAGGTCAATCCTGTTTATTCAATTATTTATAAGATGCTAACCAGTTCGCGGGGAGTTTCGCTGGGATTAGTAAATTGGAATAAATGCTTGTAAAGAGAAATAACACACGTTATATTTTGAATCGTTATTTCTAATGCAAAAGGTTGAAGAGTTAGGCAGGATGGAAGAAAAAGAAAATGACTTGAAATAAAACAAAATACATCCGTCTCTAAATAATAATCAAATAACAAATTTGAATTATTCAGGAAGGTGTCTGATCTTCTTTAATAACAAACTATAGCTTTAGTTGGGTGGTGGACAGTCAGGAAAAAAAATCAGATCAATTAACTAACCACTTATCCAGTACATGGAGTTTTATATACGAGTGGGTAGTGAAAAGTTACCAACTGAACTTTGTTTGAATATTTCATATCAGTCATTTTATTATGTGTTTAAGTACTAAGCTGGCCAGAAAGTCTTTCACTTAAGAACCTTTTCTACAAAAAAAAAACTACTAAGTCCTTTGTCAGTCTACCTGGAGGTACTCGTTGGCGCTAATTGAAAATACTGTAATTTGGCCCAAATCATTACTAACCAGTCAGTGCTGCAGATTGTCAAATCACGTCTAATCGTATCTGAATTCAAACTTTGTTTTGTTTGTCCAACTGAAATCGCTTTAAAGGAATAGTCCTCACGTATACGGCCTGCACTTCCATTAATTTGGGAGGTGAGTATTCGTGTAAGTGGAGCAAGCTTAATGTTGTGGATTTGAAAACCATGGAAGTACCTTGCCTTCCCCCACTGCACTAAAAGAGGAAAATCATATGGCATCCTTTCAACTTTGTGGAACTGGTCCCATTGAAATAGGCAATTTTGTCTTATTCCACACGCACGCGTGTCAGATTCCTCATTAAACCAACTTTCTGTCATAATTGAACACGTGGAAAAGCAAATAATTTTTTTTTTTTGTCTTCATGCAAGACTTGGCATAAATTAAGCGAGCCTGAGTTTGGATATTCCAACCACAATGCAACACCTCATTACCCTAAAAAAAGAGAAGTTCAGTATTTTCTTATTCTCATCTCATACCTTTCTTCGTTATTCCTTCTTTTTTCAACCCTAAATATTTATTCTTTTATTCGATCCTTTTCATTCCATGTTCCTATTCCAATCCTTTGGTCCTTATTTCTTTTTTTTTCTAAAAATCTATTCCTATATTCTCTCTTTTCTTATTCTTATCGCATATTTTCTTCCGTATTCTTTTCTTTTCCTCTAACTATTTATTCTTGCATTCTAATATTCTTCTTTATCTATATATCATATCTTTTTTTCATTATTCCTTTCTTTTTTGCGTCTAAATATTTATTCCTGTATTCTGTTATCCCCTTTTATTTCTATCTTATAGGTTTATTCCTTATGCTGTTCGTTTTTGACTCCAAACATTTACTCATAAATTCTCTTCTTTCTTATTCAGATCTCATACAGATGTTCACTATTCTTGTTTTTTTTTTCTCTAAATATTTATCCTTGTATTCTGCTATTCTTATTTATTAATATGTAATAACATTGTTCGTTATTTCTTTCTGTTTTTCCTCTTGATATTTATTCATATATTCTGTCCTCATTCATAAAGTATCTGTCATTCATTTTTACTTCTAAATATGTATTCTTTCATTCAGTCATTCTTCTAATCTCTTAACTTCCATCTTTACTCTTTTCTTTTCTTATATTTATTTATTCTTGCATTCTGCTATTCTTCTTCATTATTATATTATAGCTTTCTTAATTATTATTTTCTTCTTTGCCGCTAATTATTTATTCCTGTATTCTGTTTTTCCTCATCATTCCGATGTCAACGGTTATTCTGTTCTTATTTGGCGGCAATGATTGATTTTTAGATTATAAAAATTATATATAAATATAAATATTTATTCTTGCATAATGCTATTCTTCTTTATTCTATCTGTTCTTTATTCCTTTCTCTTTTACCTCTAAATATTTATTACCGTAGTTTTATCATTTCTTCTTTCTGTCCCATACTGTTATTCGATACACCTTCCATTTTTGTCTCTAAATATTTATTCTAGTTTCCTCTCTTTCCTTATTCCTATCGCACATTTTCTTACTTATTCTTTCCTTTTCGTCTTTTTTTACGGTGTTTTGTTCTTTTTCTTTCTATCTCATAGCTTTTGTACACTGTCTTCTTCTACAATAGGACCAAAAACTCGGGCTGCAATAGAAAAAGAACGCTCACTTACGAAACGAGAACTGGGAGAGATTTGCGTGACATCACCTTCCATAATTAGAACATTAAAATTCTCAAATGATATATTGTCATATACAGAAAGATTATTTCTTTTAGTAAATAAATATAAAGGTACAATGGTTTTAAAGAATGTACAAATTTTTGGCAACACTTTATTTTCTCTAAATTTGAATTTTTTCATTCTGTTATTTTTTATTACTGCATCATACCTTTCTTTGTTATTTATTTTCATTTTTACGTTTGATATAGATTCCTGTATTCTTTTATACTCTTAATATATATTCCCGTATTCTTTTATAAACTTAATATATATTCCCGTATTCCGTCCTTACTTATTCCTGATTGATACCTTTGTTCGTTATTCGTTTCTTTTCTCTTAATAATCTGCTTCTATATTTTCTATATTGACTTATTCTCTATTCCTCTGTTTCTTTCTTTCCTCCACGTATTTATTCCTTTCTGTGAATCATTTTCTCCTTTTGTTTGATGCGCCTATATTAGAGGCTTCTTCTGTATGCCTTGCATCTATTCCTCTTAATATTCATTCCTCGATTCTGCCGTATTCATCATTATCCCAGTGTTTTACACGTTGATTGCTTCTGCTTTCGTTTTCGTTCAAAACAATCAGAACCTTTTCATTTTCTTTTCTCTGTTAACTTATACATCCATCCATCCATCCATATATATATATATATATATATATATATATATATATATATATATATATGTGTGTGTGTGTGTGTGTGTGTGTGTGTGTGTGTGTGTTTATTTTCATTAACCAGAGAAAATTTTTTTTACAACTGGAATTAAGATACCTTTAGTAAATGAACATTTTCACCTACGAATATTAATTTTAAAATTCGCAGGATTAAAAATTAAAATTCGTAGGTGAAAATGGCCATTTACTAAAGGTATCTTAATTTCAATTGTAAAGAAAATTTGCCTGGTTAATGAAAATAAACATTGAGCGCTCTTTTGTCATTTAGTGTTAACATAATTCAAATTCTATGTTGTGTTAACAGGAATCGCCTGGATTTTATATATAACAACGCATAGGATTGGTATATACGGAATAAATACCAATGACCAAGAAATACGATACTTAAAAGAGTGCTCAATACAGACTAAAGCATATATAATTTATTCGGAAATTATAACATAAATATGTTATAAATTCACTACGAAAATAACCATTTTGTTTCAACACTTCTAGTATCTTATCAAATGATGGTGTTGAATGTAGAATAAAGGGTTTTAAAAAGGTTCAAATCAATCAAACACCCCTCGATAGGGGAAACACTGTTACATAAGCTGCAATGACCAATCAAAATACAAGTATATGAAAATTTAAAAAAAAACTTGACAAAGCAACTTGGCTATAATTATTAATGATTTAATGTTAGGGTTACACTAAAATAGAAATCATTCTAACTAATTAATATTAAATTGTAATATAAAATTGAAAATTAAAAATTACCAATTTTAAATTTAATCTGTATTAAGTTTAAAATATTATAAGATTATTTAAGGAAGAAACTGAGGAAAAATACATATATTTTTTCTTTATTTTGTTGTAATTGAAAGACCAAAACCTCAAATAGAATAAACGTTAAAATCTCATGTGAATGTAATGCTTCGTTACAACTTAAATAAATTTGAAGTAATGATATGAATACTACAGACAAGGTGCTTTGATTTAGTTTTTTAAACAATTTCTCATGTGATCTAATATTTGTTTTCTTTTCAGATGATAAATTATATAAAAAACCGACCCTTAATAATATCACCTATGTACATGGACACAATATCTTAACCGTGTTTTGAAAATGAAAACATTATATAAATACATACATACAAAAAAATGATTTCTTGTTAACAGCTAATATGTTCCAAGTGTTTCAACCTTGAAAATGGCTAAATGTATAGACGTAAGCGATCTGCTAAAAAGAAAAATCGGACAGTGTTTATATAATTTATCATCTGAAAAGAAAAGAATTATTAGATCACATAAGAAATTGCAAAAAAAACTAATCGTAGCGCCTTATCTGTCGTATTCTATGAAATGTGCATGAAAAAAGATTGCTGCCTAAATAGACAAATATATATATATATATATATATATATATATATATAAGTCAGTATAAGTATATATACTTATATATATATATATAAGTATGTGCCATGCGTGATACACGATTAGGCGATCATATATATTTCGATACATGACTGACGTGGTAGATTTTTTCCCGCAGTATTTTACCATTTCTTTCTGCAGTAGACCAGTTACCATCCAAGGCTATAGAACCCGGTCTGTCTTGCTATTTGCCCATAGCTTGGGGGAGAAGAAGAGGATTCATACCTTTCTCAATGGTATTAGCACATAAACGAATGTAATGGATTTGACAGGAATTCGAACCCGGCTCTCTGATTCCACAATCCGAGTATAAAATATCGCATATCGAGTGCTTGAATTAACGAGTCGTGCTAACGGTCATATATATATATATATATAGCGTTTTTCTCAAGAACTTACATATTATCATCTCTTTTCCGCAACTCTACTTGCTTATCAACCTTCTCCCTTTCCAGTCTTGTATTTAAGACAAACTTACCATGGCAGGCGGCACGTGCTTCCGACGACAAATAGTTCGCGACTCTATTTGCAGTGTCAACATCTGCACCACTCCATCTGCGTGTGTCTATCACTCACTTTCATTCCTTCACACATATAATAGCCGCTAATGTTCTTCACTTCGTCGTTCCGATAAAAAAAAAGTCAATATTTGTAGTAGTAAGCGGTATCGATCGGGCAGATTGGAATACAAGTCCCGACAATTATAGGCTTAAAAATTTTATTTATAGTTGAGGAATTCTTCGGTTGATTTCGCTCACAAAAAATCCATACGGACGTTGTTTTCTCGCTAAAATGTTGAGAAAACAATTGAGACACAAATTTAATTTTTCCGCTACTCATACGCTATCATTTATTCTTAAAATTCAGCATCTTGTAGATATTTAAATGCAAATCATTCATGTACAGATCTGATCGGGTTAACTAGTGCAGATCGACATTAGATCGATTTGAACACATTAAGAGTCTCACACAGTTTTGCTCAGCAATTTATATACAGATTAAATGTGTGCTTTTTTAGTTCTCTCTCTCTCTCTCTCTCTCTCTCTCTCTCTATATATATATATATATATATATATATATATATATGTGTGTGTGTGTGTGTGAAAATATATAGAAAATAGGAAAGAACTCGTTAGGTAAATAATCCAAAGTTCTTTAGTATTTTTGTGATTATTTTTAAAAAACAGTGCTCGATACAAAAGTAGAGCCTAAATATAATTGTTTATCTAAAAATATGATTCCATCGCTACATAAGAGTTCTCATGTTTCAAAACAAGGGCCGAAAACTTCAATATAATTATTTGAATCAAATTCAATTTAATTCAAATAATTATATTGAAGTTTTCGGCTCTTGTTTTGAAACATTAGAACTCTTATGTAGCGGTGGAATTATACTTTTAAATAAATAATTATATATATATATATATAATATATATATATATATATACCGGGTGTGACAGCAAAATTGTCCACATCGTGTAACAGGATAATTGTCCAATTGTTAGATTAAGCTTTGAACGTTGTATTGATTAAAGATATCTTACTGGAATTCCCCTAGGTTATAACACTATTGGACTATACTTTGAACAATAAGAATGTATTTGGATGAACTGATGATCACTATTCCTGTTGCAACCTCTTGATTGAACTCTCACTGTATTTAAAACTTATTCATTGTTCTCTTGATGGTTCTTGAATGGACTTGGAAAATGGAAGTCAGAGTATGAATGTAGATACCAATACTGAAGGCCTGAATGATATTTTTCCTCTCACCATTGCTCACTTGGAAAGACTTAGTGGCACTTTATCAAGGCAAATGCAAGGATTTTATTTTGTGACAAGCATTTATATACAAAAGCAAAAATGTTTTCAAAATTTTTGCGTTATGAACTCTCATCAATATTATTTTGTCCGTTTTCTTTGTATAACTTTTGCTACCCTTTGTCCTTATCCAGTCTTTATAGAATTTTCTTTTCAGTTTTTCGAACAAACACAAAGTGAGTAAAATCGGCACTGCTGGCTAACTTTTATTCCCAACACTGTAACAGATCCAAAGAAGAAATATACGTCGAAAACGCATTCAAAAACTTCCAATATCCACAATGCTCAGAATATAAAAGTTGAAAAAAATAAAGATAAAATAAAAAGATAACAACGTTACTGACAAAAATAAACTATACCCTTTCAAGTTCAATTTGGAACTAATAAAAGTCATTTTAGGATTAAGCAAGTTCATAATGAAATAGTCAAATTCAAAATGGGACATAGCTAATTCAAAATGGAATAGATTTAAATTGGGACATAACAAATTCAATATGGAATAATCAAATTAAAAATGGGATTAAGCAGATTCAAAAGGAAATAGACAAATTCAAAATGGATTAGGCAAATTCAATTTGGGACTGAGCAATTATTTAGCTAAAAAAAATTAAATACTTTCATGATGAATTAATAAAGTTCAACTAAATTTTACTATTGAAATGTTTTATCTTCTAAGAGCAATCAATAAATCAAGAAAATTCATGAAAGGTGTATGTTTTTAGATACAACTTTCAGCGCTTAAAATCTTTCATTATACCTGTATTTTTTCAAACTCTGTCTTGATATATACATTCAGTATTTCTTTGCTCCTTTTCTTAAGCCTTTCGAGATTTGCCCTTTTGTTCACCAAATCATTTCATTTTGAACAACTGTCTTTTATTATTCTCTCTTTTTTAACTCTATATACAGTCTATCTGTCTCTTTCTTTCTTTTTCTCATCTCCCTGATTTTCTTACCAATGAAAGTGCCAGGAACTAACATTGACACAAATTTA